TTTCACCCATAAGATCAGTGGCAATCCAGCAATGAGAGAAAGGAGAGCTCGATTGTTTAACACTTATTTACACCAACCATGGTGGGGAGGAGGTGGGTGTGGCGGCATAATGTTAATGTAATGTAATTAATATTACATACTATTTATTATCTCAAGATTCCCCTCAGGATAGATTATGTTTCATTGTTGACATGACACTATAGTGTGGTTTCTAATTGAAATTACATCTTTCAAAGCAAATCTAATTTATTTTGCCCATTTGGCAATTGCTTTGGAGAAAATTTATTGCACATAATTAGACAATAATGCTAATATTGACATTATTAATTTTTTATATATTTACATTTCATTGAAATGAAAACAATACAAATAAGCTTTCCAGTTTTTAAAGTATTAGACAATACTACATTTGATTTTTAAACAGAAGATATATTTACATAATTTAATTTAGAATATATTTACATTGTAAGGAAATTAATACAAGACAATGAAGTTATCCAGTTTATAGAGGGAAATAATTAGACAGGTGGCAGGTTTGCGTGTCCTTCCCACTCCAGTATAAAAAGGGAAGAAATTGGACAGCTGGCAGGTCTGCTTGTCCTTCTCACACCAGGATAAAAAGGGAAGGAATTGGACAGGATATAGGCGTGAATGTCCTTCCTATTTATGGACATAAAATAAGACTTTTCATAGACCTGCTTGGAAGTGTACTGTCTATATACAAAAGCTTGTGTTAAATAAAAATCTCAACTCGTCTCTCAAATTGCTACTTTTGCTTGACGTACTGTTTGTTGGAATGGTATGGCTCACGATGTTGAACTATATTATTTATTACTCATATTCCTATCAATTATAATGATTATTTTTAAACAGTATTTATTAATCATATCAATAATAAATGTGAATTTTAAGATTAATATCTTATTCTTGCAGCGGTTACCAAATCTTATCAAGGAACGCAATGAAAAATTAAAAGAGGAGATGATGGGCAAACTGAAGGATCTTGGAAATATGGTGCTACGTCCATTTGGTCTCTCAACTAGCAATTTCCAATTTAACCAAGACCCAAACACAGGATCTTACTCAATGAACTTTGTACAAAATGCAGGAGGTAGCAATGGAAAGTGAGAACACCGATGGTCTATTGATTATGGTTGAAATAGCAGTTGAGGGATACAGTAAGGAGCTTTCACTTTGTGCGACGATGTGACCAGAACGGAATCACTCATGCGTGACCCTCCTACCTGGCGTCCTACGTTCTCTGCATACGTAGATTTGGCCAAAATGCGTTCCAGAATCTACTCGACGAGGTGACCTTAACGTTCCCGCATGCGCAGATGACTTTTAGTGACGTCATTATGTTCTACGTCCTACCGTCGTCGTGCAATCGAAAGCTCTCTAATACCCTATCAAAGAGTATAGAACTGGAATTCTATACTCTTTGACCCCATTTACACACGTCTGATGAAGCTGCCCTCAACTGCCAGCGAAGCCTCTGTTGAATAAGTGATTATTAATCTCGGAGTGCTGCCTCTGAGACTAAAAATTAAGTTTCATTTCAAAATTAATATTTGCGATAGTTAAAATAATATCACATAACCTTGCAGTAGAAACATTTACTGTTATTGCTCTTTGAAGGTCATTTATTGTTTCTCATGTAATAAAATCATAAAATTATTCATAATTTTTCATAAATACTGTATAATGTTTAGTTTATTACATAATAAATATGTTCATTAAAATTATATTATCATTCATAAACATTTTATCATGATAAATTTATAACCATATTAAATATTTCTTGAAAAGTAAACAATGAAGTAACAAATATTTTCTCTAATTCTTTCCTTAAATTGTATATGGTATGATGTATACAGTACAGTAATGTTTATATTGTGTATACCTGATGGTTGAATAAAATATCATTCAGACATTTCATCATGTACTGTAGTAAGTTCACAATCATGTTAGACAATCACAAGAAGAAATAAACATTAAAGAGTAAATTGTTATTATATAAAGCATAAAGTTTAGGTAAGAGCAATATTTCAAAACTAATATATAACATATCATGTCATGTTTTATATCGTCATTATGGTTAACTTGTAATTTTATTTTAAGGTAGATCATTAAAAATTTTGCACTGCATACAATGAGTGTTCTTTTCCTTTTTTTGATTTAGTAATACTGTACTTCAAAATATAATGGTCTTGCTTTGACCTTTTCTTATGCACTTCTTTGTATGCGTGTATAGACCAGGTTTTGTAAACAGAAAAACTCTGGTTTTTTTTCAGTACAGTATCAAATGCTAAATGATAAGGACAACTTTTTAGAATTAAACTCAGCAAGTCATTACAAAATACAGAATATTTCTATTGAATAAAAACCACAGTGGAGCACCCTCTTTGCACCTCCTGGTCAGAGTGTGTTATGACCCTATTTTTTCAGTGTAATGTTATGCAAATTTGATATAGCCTGTCTCATATTTTTTGGCATCCATGATTACTGTAAATGTTGTACTATTTGGTAATTGGTTTGCCCCTTTTGTCTCCTAATTTTATTTTCCTTTTTGTAATGCTTTTTATACAAATAAAGATTTTAAAATAGTAAACACAGAGAGGTCATAAATGAAATACCAAGATAACCAAGTGATGACACTACATTATGTCAGGGCAGTGGCGGCTCTAGGATATAATTTATGGGGGGGGGGCCTAAATATTTATGGGTGTAACTATAGCGGGCAGCATTATCTAAAGGCCAAAGGCCCGATCCGGGAGATGTCCCCTCTTCCCAAAATGAGATTTGTTTTTAAATTGGGACTTCTAGATGGCCGGAAATGACTGGGATGGGAAAACTAGGCCTATTTTTTTTTTGTGGTCCGACGAGCTTTGGCCGCTGGGGGGGGGGGGGGGGGAGGGGCGGCACTTGACCAGACCGATGGGGGATGAAGCCCCCCTGTTATGCAAAATAGCTCTTCATTCATTGTTTTAACCGACATGTAATACAAATTTTTTTTAAACACCTATACCAATGTTTAAATTTGGATCTGCCTGCTTTCTTTATTTTCTGTTGCCTCATTTGTTTTTTTAAATTGTGGTAATCTTATTTAGGCTACTAGTTAATAATTAAATTAACTGATGATCCAAAAAAGCCTCCTTTTAATTGGCTTAACAATGCTAATGATAATAAAATTAATTTTATAATTTGTATCTTAACCATAAAGCATAATATTATTTTTAGCTTAAATTGATAGAACACCAAGAATTTCATTTCATTTTTTTTATTTCACTCTGTAGCCTTGGGACCAAATTGCAAATAAATTGCAGAAGATATTGCAGACATAATACAATAAATACTATCAAAACAAATACCAAGAACATAGCCTTGGTCATATAATGGAGGGGGATCATGACCAATAACAATATAAACCTCCAAGGGCTTGACGTTGGTAGAGTTTAGCTTTAACAGATGTCCTTTGCACTAAAATTAAAAATTATCCAGATCATGCTGAAGTGAACCATTTTCACTCACACAACAGGTATAGAGAGTTAACAGTTGAAGGTGAAACTACGCCTGTTAACTGCAAATTTGGATTCTCTAGCACTGACTATATTATCTACACATATTTCTGGCAACTATTCATGGCATCATTGTCCGTGTCATTATCATAATTTAGAATATTACTTATAAGGCCAAGTTTGGTGTCCTGTAGTACTTCGCCTTTTAGAGTAAGTTGAATAGCTTGTGGCCAGTTAAATGGGGGGTTACCCCAGTGTACTGGTTCATACAGCCCCAGTTGTGGACAGACGAGACATTGTACAAGCTAGTCCACACCTCTAACGATTTGAGACTTCAGTATAAAGCGCTATAAATCAAACTATATTACACTACAAATAAGATGCTTGCCTTCCAATCCCAGAGTCTAATTGCTGTTACATAAAGTAACATATTAGTTTTCATTCCCTAAGTCTCATATAATGAGACCATGGTCCACAGTATGTATAGCATCTTGTGTGTATAATTATGATCTAAAGGGATTGCCAATTAGTAAAGTGAGCAGGTTCACTGATTGGCATGGTGTGCTAAAAGTTTAATAAAAAAAGTAGCGAGACACATACTCGGACAGACTTTTTTTCTAAGGAACCTCCAAATCCACGGAATAATAAATCGTGGAGGAATTGATTTTTTTCTTAATCAAGAAGTAATATTCTAAACCATGTTTTATTCAAAAATTAATCATAATAGTCAATGTGTGCACCAGATATAAACTCATCCCTTTCCAAAATAGTTAGCAATTTGGCAACGGTGTCTTCCACTTTGACAGCATTCCCCTCCTTGAATAATTTCATCATCATGTTACGTACACTATCATCTCCAGTTTCTGTTGCGATCTTATGTAACATATCTGTGTTGATGGGTCCTGGAGCATAACTAAGAACTCTAACACTGGTATCTTCTTGTGCAAGAACTCCAAAAAGCATATCCCTAGCGGCTTTGGCCACGCAGTACATGGACCATGTAGCAAAAGGTTTGACGGCTGCCAAGGAACTTATCTGAACTACAGTTCGCCTTCTACATTGAAAATTCGTAAAAACGGTTAAGAATCTTGCAGTAATTAGATGAGCAGATGTGACGTTTTCGAAGTTACATTTTTGCAATTGCTCGGCATCGGATATCTCACAAATTTTCTGGGATATATCTCCAAGAGTTCCAGCATTGTGCACTAAAACCGCATGTTGAAATCCTGCTGGTTCAACATCGTTAAAGATGGAGCCGATTAGTGTTTTCAAGTCGGCAGAATTTCCTAGGTCGCCAGCTACTATTTTGACACTCACCGCCGGTGAAACACACTCAATGAGTCGTTTGGTTTCAGCTAGACACTGGGTATTTCTTGCTGTAATGACCATTTGTGATTTCTCTCCAACTTTCTGTGAAAGTTGTACAGCAATAGCACGACCTATTCCTCGGCTTGCACCAGTTATTATGCAAAACACTGGAACACAGAAAACTCCGGTTTTTGATGAATCCATAATGTTATTAATAACAGACTAAATTATTAATAACGGACTACTTACTAATTAATGAAAAAATGCTGTCTCTGCTGGGTGCCGCTGCCGAGCTCAAGACGATCGACGTAGAGCAGCAGCGCTGCCTCTACAATTTTATGGGAACACCTCCCTCTACCGTCTACAGCTTGGTGGTGGGGAGCCAAAAAAACGACAAATTATTAATTAGGAGAGATGTGGTTTTTATTTATATTAAGCTGGGTTGCAACACTTGTTCAAGTATGCTTCGTAACCTTAGCTTTAGGTATGCATTTATTTTCAATTATTATAAAATTACGATTTTGTTGGGCCTAGTGTATTATTAATGATGCTAGGCCTGCAGTCCATATCAATCAAGGCAAGCGAAGGCCGCATCCATGCCAATGAAGCCTGGAGTGGAGGCCTGGCTTGTTGTGTTAATGTTGTGTTGGCGTTGTGGGTATTCGGCGTTGTAGAGAGCATTTGTTCTAGTTTGTTGTACTAAGTACTATTTATACAGGCCTACGACTTGCCCGACTCCAGTGTAGTCTGGGCCTAGGCCTAGTAGTAGAACTATTTGGGTATATTCAAAGATTAGATAAAAACCGGCCAGTTACCAGTACGCAGGATTTTTATTGGGTGGGTGCGAATTTGTAGAAATTGGGGGCGCGGGGGAGGGGATCCTGCTGGGATCGAGGGGGCGGAGCTCAGGCATTTTTGATAAATTTAGGTCTTAGTTAATCAATTTGCATATACGGTTTTCATTGGCAGATCTAGAAATTTGAAGAGGGGCCAGGGAGAGACTTTCACAGATGGAGGAAATACCACCTCAGCCCCACTATGGTTGAGGATGAGGGAAGAAAATTTATGACCATGGCACCTTCAAAATGGCCAGAAATTGCACTCTTATACAATTTGAATATCATTTTCTTTTTTCCCTATTTTTTTATTTCTTTTTTTTTATTTTTAAAAATTGAGGGGAACTAGATTCAGTTGGGCTTCTTGAATCCCCCACTGTCAGTGGTGGACTTATGAATTTGATATAGAGGGGGAAAGGGAAGGAATTTTACAGTTTGAGAGTCGATGACATTTTTGATAATTTGAGGTCATACTTAATCGATTTCTGAAGATGCATACAGTTTTAGTGGCGGATCTAGGCATTTGATGAAAGGCCAGGGAGGGATTTCATGAATGGAGGAAATACCACTGTCAGTGGCAGATTTAGGAACTTGATATGAGGTTGGGGGGGGGGGAAGGAAGGATTTTACAGATTGAGAGCAATGCAGTAGCCAGCTATTGGGACAGCCCCACACAATTTTTCTAATGGGTCCACATTTTAAAAATGGGTCCAAATTATGTAATTTCATGCATAAGGTGAGTCCACTTTATGAAAACAGATTTCTGCTATTTAGCCTAATATTTTACCCTCGAAAATGTGGACGTTTTTGGTAATTTGTGGGGGGTGCGTGTGCACCTGTCGCACCTAATCCCCCCCCCCCCCGAAATATAAAGACATCATTTTGAATTTATGCATGAATTATTGCTTTTTTAATTCAATACGGATATTCTTCAAGCATGCTGTTGTGCTTTACGAAGATTGCAAGACTGAAGTTTAAGCCAAGGAAAGGGCCATGCCAACTCCACCAGTCAACACCTCAGATTTACGTTGTCGGAACAATATCCACACTCTTTTCAAATTACCATTGCAGCGGTTAGTTATTGTTCCAGGACCAAAATAGGACATGAGATGAGATTCTGCGCACATCAACTTTTGATCTTCAAAATAATTTTATTCCAAACCTTAGGGTGATGGACGGGAAGGGTGGAGATGATATTTACACTAATAGTTGAAATGTAGCTTTGTGGTTAGCGTTAAGATGACTGCCTTCCAATTTTAGGGTCAGGGGTTAAAATCTTGTCATAGCACAGGAATTTTTTTTTTCTCATGACCTAAAAAAAAACATGTTTTTCTCTTATTGTTTGCAATTTAAAACCCCTTGAATCCACCACTGCCATTCATTATAATTGGCTGCCAATATTTACATTTTCATACCAGAATAAATAATACTGTACTGTCACCTTTCTACCAACAGCTGCTGGTTTGTACTACCTTGCGGAGCTGGTAGAGGAATACACAGTAATGGCAAAGAAAGTTATCAAGTGGCTTATTATTGTAAGTGGACTAAAAGTGGATGTCCCACGTCTTCATGCCTTGATGATTCACAGCCAGTCGCAGGTTGATGAACACAGGATATTTTCATTTATAGCATTCATAGAAGGAAAGGATGAATATTTTCTAACCAAAATAACTCTGGTGGAACTGCTTCTTAAAATGCGTAAACTTTACTAACATTGTAATGGACCTTTGCAGAATGCCAATCAAACTTAATAACTGACCAATCAGGGATACATGTGTGTTGTCCAACAAAAGCATGTGTTTACATACGTCTATGCTTTTTTTTGGGACCATAGCAACGGTATCTAAGGGGACTGGGCCTAGCAGAAAGGTCCATTGACAGCTGACAGATTCATTAACTTAAAAACAGTCTTTTTGACTATTTATACAATATTTGTGTCAGTAGAGGTGGTGGAGGTGAATATAAGGACTAAAGTGTCACCTTCACTCTGTCACTTAGATGCTTCGTTACAAAAGGTTGAAACATATACGTTGATAATTTTTTAATAAAGCCAAAGCTTCTTTCCAAAGTTGTCCTTGCAAATTAAAAAAGCCAATTATATTTTAAATCCAGGTGACACCTTAGAATACCTACTGCATAGAGTCATTGTTACATTTGCCGTATACATACCACATACAGCATTTTTTTTTAAATGTTGCTTTATGTTTGTTTTTGCAGAGTACCGTATGTGTTTACATAGGATTGATTCTTTTTGAAGACATGCCAAAATCATTAACTCTCACAGGATTTGCCTCTACCTGTTTTTATTCCTTACTTCTCTCAAACTTTCCATATATTGAAGTTATGTCACCAGTTTTCATTATCAGTTGCAGTAAGTATTTGAAATTCTAACATATAATAAATTTTAAGTGTCTATTTGATGGAAATTGTTATGAATATTTCATTCATTGGATATAAGAAAAATAGTTTTGAGAAAACAGCTTTCAAAGATTTATAAGTCAATAGTTTAAGGTGTGTACTGTATATTTAATATTAAGGTGTATTATATTTAAGATAATTTTTCAGTTATATTTATTGATTATTGTTATTGTTTATCTAGTACTAAACACTGAATTCTGTGATTCACCTAAAATCCTGTCATGCGGTGCTGTGGGAAGTGGGAAGTTTATCATTCTAACCTTTGATGTCCGAGTCCCTTTTTGAGTCTTGGGCAAGGCAGAGACCCTTGTTGTCTTAGTATATGATGCTTGGCCATTTGATGTCCAAGTCTTTTTAAGACTTCAGCAGAGTGAAGTTGTTTTCATTCATGAAGATAGTATTGATTTGAGTCCATGAAATTGGGATTGGAAGGCGAAAATGTTTTGCATTACTACATCCATTAATCCTGTGTCTCCTACCCATGATCCCCACTGGAATGAATTACGTTGTACTAAGGGACCTGAACCTAAAAATAATTCTGTAAGTTTTTAGTACGGTATTATAAGTAGCTTGTTATTAATTATATTTCTTTTTACTTTTGCTATCAGTTATGCTGTTTGCCAATCACTACATAGCATTCCAGCACTTCACTGAGGAATGGTACCCATTTGCCGAGGTATAGTTAAACACTTTTATTGCACTACATGTTACCAGAGCGCTGCTTAAGATGCCAAGGAAAAATTACTTTGTTTTAACCAATAAGTATCCTGCTACTAATTACAGAGAAATTGTCAAAAAATCAAACAAACCTGAGAAAACCAAGCAGAATCTTACCATATACTAGCTCTTTGATATAGAATTTATACATACTTAAAGTGGCAGGTAAAAAATTGTCATCCCTTCTCTTTGCAGGTTCTTGCTTATTTTACAATATGTTTGTGGTTAGTACCATTTGCATTTTTCGTTTCCTTGTCAGCAAATGATAATGTGTTACCGACTACAGCTACCACTGTTGGACGTGGTCAATCAGGTGGGTAGTGCATGGCTGAGAATATAAATATTCTGGCACAAGCTATATATTGTTTTGTGTTTCTTTTTTCTGTGTCGTACTAAACCTTAACACTAGTTTTTTAATTTAGACAATACAGTACTTTTCTTGTGAAGCTACCAGCTATACAGTACATCTTCCCATTTAGGAGATTTGTCTAACTTTTCTAAATGAAAAAAACAATTAATTTCAAATATCTTACTCACTTAATTTGAATTCTATAAAATCATTTTGAAATTTTTAATAGGATGTTTTTCTCATTTTAATTTTTTCTTGAATAGGTGGACAAGATGTTGTGAGCAGTTATTTTAATAAAAAGAGCAAACGCAATGGTTTACTGGCAGTCTTTGATTTTTGCAAGGAGACGTTTATTCCACAACGTGACAAACGATTCTGAATGGTTAAAAGACACTACATAAGACTTTCATAAATAAATGATACTTTTACCAGTATGACACTGGTTTAATATATAATGGTAGATTATCCTTCAACAAGCAACATTGGTAATGCCCTGTTCTTTGGATGCTTTTGTTATTATAACATGGATGATTTCAATTCTGTAAGTCTAAAAATTCTTTTGTCACCCTCATATTTTAATTGCTATTCAGTATTTTATCAAATCCTTTGTGTTCTAAACATAGTTGGAAGTAAAAACTGAAAATCAAGCTTTTTAGAGTAATTAATGAAACTAACAAATGCAATTAATTTAAATATTGTCGTTTCCTGATTGAGATGTGTTGGTAACATGTATGGAATTTTATACATTGCACTTTCCCGCTTCACAAACTTTTTTTCCCTGGGACCCAAGTTGTGATTTCCCACACTAGGCGCGACCCATTTAATAATTTGATAGTAAATTGCACAGAGACTTTTATAAGATCCCTGAAATTTGATGCTCATGTTTTAAAAATGACTACTCAATTTTAGAATTACATTATCAGTGGTGGATCCAGGAATTTGTAGGGGGTGCCAGGGAGGGACTTTTACAGAATTATAGAGGGTCTACCAACCTCAGCCTCACCATGTTTGGTGCTGTCGAAATTTTATGATTATGGCCAGCACCTTTTAATGGCCATAATCATAAACTTTAATTTGAGTTGGGATGCCTGGGTGGTGGTGCCCCCTTAAATCTGCCACTGACTATTGTCCCTTTTCGCCACAGTGGGAAAATAACTTTTAATATTTGATGCTTAGAATGAAATACAAGACTTGGGTAAATTACTTGTGTGACTGACCCAAAATCACAAAAATATAGAATTCGCTTTTTTTTGCAGAAAATATTTTTAATCTTTAATATATTAAACCATAGTTTTAGCCTTGTGGTTACCATTACATCAACCAACAAAAATACGAGAGTGGCTTTTTAGCTGCAATATTGTATGCATTTGCATAGGTACCCATTTGAAATTTATTTGGAAAAACTTACAGGTCACATGACTTTGTGTCTGTCTATAAAGTACTTGTTTTTTTCAAAAGTGGAATGTTCACATTTACACAATTATGTTGTGGTACAGTAAGTTGATATAAGATATTCATTGTGGGGATATAATAAAATATTGTTCCAATAAGGGTTTACCTAAAATACTGTTTTCAAGATGCCAGATCTGTTAAAGACTTTAAATCAACTGTGTAAATTATTACAAATGAATTAACAATCTGGTTTTTAAAAATTCTTCAAACCTGCTCACGACCCAACGCAAAAGTTGGCGACCCACTTATGTGTTGTGACCTGTAGTTCGGAAAGCGTGGCTTCAGTTCATAAATCAAATACTCTACCTAATTTGGGCCACATACATGATAAAAAAAACCATCACATAATGAACATGTTTTTTTTTAAATTTTAGAATTAGGAAGTAGTTTTCTCAATAGTTTGAATTCGAAAGAAAGTTTTTGTTGTATTACAGGGCATATTTGGATTACTGTACTGTACATATTATCTTAAAAAATAAACATCTAATATTAATTGCTTGTTTAATCTTTTTTTAAATTTTTTATGGGTTGTCAAGGCAGGTGTTCTTTAAAACTATAATTTGTGATGTTAATTTTAAAAACAAGATTAAAAATCAGATTTCTTATAAACAATTTCTGTATTTCATTTATTAAAAAAAATAAATAAATTACATAATCTGTGTGCATTATCATTTATATCACAACATTTAGCAATACAAGGGCCTTTGTAATTAAATTTGGTGTAGACAACTAATTTGGGTTGTAAGATCATTATATTTACAGTATGCACTCAATCATCAGCTCTCAAAGATCTCATCCCTCAATGAAAACATGCCTACTTACCAAAACTACATCTTTGATATCTTTATAACACTCACACGATCATACTCCCCAAAAACTTTCTTTCAATGGCCACATTCAGCACCAACTGGAAAACTATATCAATCGCATACAGTAATAAGGCAAAGATTTACAGTAAGTCTCATTTCACTATCTCTGAATAGTGAATAGCATTTTAAATATCTATTTGATTAAAGTATCTCAAAACGATATTTGTATTCTTCTCCAGTAATATTAGGAAACCTATAGGGTTTTGCGATTTGCTTCATTGATTCATAAATGTTTCTAGATTTTTTTTCGATATTTGCTTCTAAATTCAATGATTCTCTGCTCGATGGACTGACTTCTTTTTTTGGAAACATGTATGAATCCAGTGAGTTTGAGAGATGAGCATACATTTCCACCAGTGGTTTATCATCCTCTGACCAAATTTTCTTGTGCTGTTCATCAATGATGTTGTGGCACTTGAAAGTGAGGGGTCTTGTGTGTACTGATGGTTTGTCAAAAAGGACTCTCTCAATGATCTCGTCTGGTAAGTTGGGAGATTCCTCCTCGCAGTCGAATGCAGATTCTGGAGGAATGGCAGTTTTTTGTGGTGTTCCATCTTTTAGACCACGCCCATTGGACTTTCTATCTGTTGTCTTGCTGGATTTCTTGTCTGTTCCAAATTTTTGATCGAGTTTGCTGAGAAGGTTTATCAATTGAGGCTGGTTCTCATTCTTTCGAATGCTATTTGGATTTGCAAGTCCTCTTTGATCCTTTGTCACCCACTCGCCACAAATATCAATGTATTTTCTTGGTTGCTTCGACCATGGAACTGGGTTACGGTCCCTTTTAGATGGTCCTGTGCCTTTTGGTGGAAGATGTTTACTGTCTAGCCAATTTGTAAAGGACAGTTGGCCATAGAATTCTTTATTTGCCATTCTCCCATCTTCTCGATGAAGATCTTCCTTTTCTTTAAGTTTTTTCAATGCTTGAAGTTTTTCCATTTCAAGAACATCTTCCTCTTTTTCCTGCTTCCAGTTTTTTGATGAAATTATTCTAAAAAAAACCCCAAAAATATGTTTAAAAAAAGGATCACTAATGGGTGGAAGAAATCAAGAGAATTGAAGGGTTGATTTGTTTGTGATGATGGAATGTGAGGATTATAAGATGTGATGATGATAAAAAAAGATGATGATGATCTAAATGTAATTCGGTTTACCTTGCACACTTCCTATGACCCCATATTTTAGCATAGTCCAGCGGAGTATGACCTTTAGAATCTTTGATGTCTGTACGACCCCCAGCATTGATCACCAAATTGAGACACTTAACACTTCCCTCTATGGAGGCCTGGTGAGCAGGAGTCAAGCTATCTTCATTCATGCTAAGTGGAAGTACAGTAATTATAAAGATGTGAATACAATATTTAAATATGTGCTGCATCCTCCTGTGGAAAACCATTTGAAGATTGAGTGATCAGGTTGTTTACATTTTAAACAACCATTGTTTTTAACCATTTTGTGATAAAATTTATGTGGTTATGGATTTAAATTACTTTAATTTAATTATGGATGTATGTAAAGTCAATATGCGTATATCCCGATTTATCCAAGGTCAATCGACATAAACCTACGTTGTGTGTATGTATGTTTGTTTATGTTGATTGACATTGATACGAGCATGTGCAGTTCAAACTACAAATCGGGTTATTACAATATCAGCTTAGAAAGTTGAGTTAAAATAGAAAGTGACAGGGGTGAGAAGAGAGCTGAGATAAGGCATGCTTGAGGAGGATAGGAAGAAAGCAATGACAAATCAGATCTACTGTGATACACGGGGGTGTATGCCCTTGGCCTCTCAAAAAGGTTTCTACCCCCAATGTGATCCCCAACTGGAATTTTTTTAGCAGAAAAATTTCTTTGTATTCAAAAAATCATGTCATATCACCTTATTTTACCAACTAGCACCCCTCTCCCTTAGCCAGCCATCATGCCCCACCCAATCATCCCCTTATTTCAGTACTCAATGGAAGTGGCAGAGAGGAGACTTGCAGCATCATCACCCTCTACTTACACAGATGGATCAGCACCCATTTCCAGTAAGTATTGAAGACATTGTGTTGACCGCTTGCCAATCCTATTATTGATGGTTAGGTGGATGGGTCTCCAACCAGTGCTGCTTGATAGGTTCACATCAACTTCATATTTTTCTATCAAAATCCGCAGACAATTCAGTCTGCCATGTAACGCAGCTAAGTGAACTGGTGCCAAACCCTGGAAATAAAGTACAGCTTATTCAGTACAAAGAACAAACAAATAAACAATAAACAGTAGGCCTAGCCTAGTCCTAGTAATACTATCCTTTTCATGTTTTACTGTTAGGCCTATGCCTAGGCCTAGCAAGAAATACTGTTGACTCAGGTAAAACAAATGTTTATTCATCATTAAAAAAAATAAAACTAGGCCTAGGCCTACTAGGGCCTCACACAACAAGAGACACAGCAAACACCTACATTTCTATCAAAACTATTTGGATCTCGTCCGTCTCTCAACGACTGTTTTAGCCACGATGTGTCCCCAATTGAAGCAGCCATAAATTCATCTGGTTCTGAAAGAAGAGTGCTCGTAAGTTCTCGATAACTTCGTTTAGCTTCCCCGTCCTCTGCCTTCGCTTTATGTGAGAGATTCTTCGAACCACGACTCCTCCCAGCAATGCCATTTGTTTTTGTTGTTAATGTAAGTTCACTCTGCTGCTGTCCCTGGCCCTTTTGTTCATTTCCACGAGTAAGTGGTGTTAAATCGAGACCCGACATGTTTAGTAAATCTTATGACGAACTAAATTTTTTTTAAATCTAGTCATGTTGGTTTTCATAAGCTGTGTAGCATCAGCATATGAACAGAGAGAATTGCAGCAGCAGCTCATGTGCGATTTCCGGTCGGGAGACTCTTCCCTTGTGTGTTGTGTTGTTATGGCAACACAGTTCAACTTTGACTCCTTGACTCAGAATAAGCTCATATTTTATTTCTAATACTGTACTTATTTATGTATATATAAAATTTGTTTTCTTCAAAATTAAACTGTTAATTTATGAAAATGTATTAAATTGCAATTTATTTTAACACCATTTATAATGAATATAATATTTTAAGTTAATAAAAGCAATGATAAAAATAATAGTGTGTGAATATAACCATAGTAACAGCATACTGCATACTGTGTGTAGTGAGCAGAAAGTGCATTGCAACTTCTCTGATTGCAACAAATCAGTGGGGCAGGCGGCCTGAGCTGAGTAAGGTAGCCTAGATTATTATGTTATCCGGGCCTAGCTAGGTCTGGTCTACTGCTCTCAGATTTTATTAGATCTGTATAGACCAAGGACCCTTGTATAGGCCTAGACCAATCCTAAGCCAAGGAAGTATTCTTAGGGAGGCTGCCTAGGGCACGGGGCCTAGCCTAGGCTAGCAGCAGAGCCTAGGCTAGGTAAACCTACTACTAGGCTAGCCTAGTAGGCCCCTACGCCTAGTAGTAGTAGTAGTAGGTAGGCCCTGGGGCTGTTATAGGCCTAGGATACACTTTCTGGGGGTGGGGGCCTGAGCTGTCCGAAAAAGGGGGGGGGGTGCTGAGTGAGGGAAATAAGGATAACTTTAGCGCGCATTGTACCCTGAGCGAGGGCCCCAGTGACCGAGCGGAGGGTTTGGGAGGGGTGTTTCCCTCCATATTAATTAATTAATGGCCTTGTTTACACGGCAGAAGATCACCGTGATGATTGTGTTTATCAATTACATACATTTTTTGACAAAGGGTTTCAAAACAAGCAGTAAATCACACTTTTTTTTTCAGGTCAGTTGTAATCATGTGACTTCCTGGTACAATGATAAATTTTTTATCTTGTAGACGCATGACTGGAGATCATCAGTTTTACCTATCTGATAGCAATCGCCCATGTAAACAAGGCTTAGGCTGTGAGATTTTTAAAAATAAATAGGGACCTCTCTGGATGGATGGCTGGAAATGGTACTTTCAGACTTGAAAAATACTTTTAAATGTAGGCCTAAAGTTGATAAAATACAATTGTTACTAGGCTTAATACTCTAACTCGACTCAATTAGTGGCAACACCACTGCCTCAGCCAGGCTGCTGGTTTTATGCAGGGAGTCCTACCTATAGAGCCTAGGATAGTATGCTCACCAGGTTTTCATTCATGTGGTGTTAGGCCTACTTTTTTAGTTCTTATTTTTTCAATAAAATGTTATTGTCCTATATTTTCCCCCACCAGGTATCATGTCAGGTTGTGGCGCCTCTCAGCGGCATGCCCTAGAATTGTACGAGTTGAAGAAGAAAGCTGTCATTTTTTATCAGGAAAATAATGTTCCTGAAAGAATTGAAGAAATATTGAATTCTTTGTTTTCTTTCTCTTATTCACTTCTAGATTTGTATAAGAGACAGGGGCCTCACACAACAAGAG